TAAAGTACTGCGCAGACAACTAATCAGTCATTCAGGGATCACTCATTGAGAGGGAAGCAGTCATTCTATTATTATTCTGTCTGTTGCGGTAATTATTTTGTGTAAATGTAAAGAAGGTTATGTTGCGAAGTAGCAGCTCTGTGTCACATCGCCATAAGCAGTATTGCTGTGGATTTACATACTTCAACTAATTTAATGTTATCATGTATTTACTTCTAACTGCTTACTGTGTAACATATGTTCCATAAATTTTATAAGATAAATTTGTTACCGAATATTATAAGAGAAGTAATTAAATATTAAGCATTAATAAAATTTGGTTAGCCACAAAAAGCAGCAATTAAAACATTTGGTTAGCATTCAAAGAATCGGTTTGCAATTTTTAAAAAAATTCGCAAATATTCTTGATAGTGTTCAGTAATTTAATCATAAATAGGCAGCTTACAATAATATGAGTTTGCCTAATAAACAGTCAATACGCAAAATACTTAATTGATCAGCAAGATTCACGATTGGTTAGCAAAGAAAATATGGTACAAAAAGTCCCGCTGGGTTTCTTGCTGGTTCTTCCCAGGACAGTGGTATTTTCCGAACCAGTGGTAAATAAAATAATGACTTTCAATAAGTATTATGTAATAATCCATATTGAATAAAAATCATTCTCATTCTCATTCTCATAAGTAACCTAAATTTGTGTATAAAAACCTAAATTTAAAATTAGTTGTACTGTTAAATTTGTAAAAATATGTTATGGCTAAAATGCGAAGTGCGGTTACACCTAGTGCTAGCCGGCTAGACCTAGATGCGGCCAGCAGTAGTAGGTTAAATTTAGGTGTACTGTTAAATTTGTATAAATACGGAAATACGTATCAAGTAATACCAGCGACAGTAGGTTAAGGTGCGGCTGGGGTGGCCCTAGCCGCGTACCTACATTATTTTAATAATAATAATAATCTTTATTATTTTTAGTTGCTTGCCCCCTAAGTGCTTATCAAAATTTTATAAACATGAGTCACTCATTGCAGCTTATATAATTATTATGATGTACTAAAAAATTTACAGCCGTCCAGAATATCAAAAATTGCTGATTGATTTAATAATGTTTGCTAGCCATGGTTTGCTGACCAATGATCTATTTCTACTGCTAGATTACATTTCTCTGCTGACAAAAACATGAATACTATGCTAACCCATTAAATAACACCTTATTATAATTGGATAAATTCTAATAATATTAAAATTAAAAAAACTGTTGGTAAATCCAATTGTGCATGCCCTAAGCGCATTAAAATAATTACGTATAACATCATTATACGGAATTTTTTTTAAAGTAGTTTAAATACACACAAGTTTTCACTAATAATCTTATAATACTTCCAATTATCCGATAATTTTATGTCAAAGTTCAATTTAAAAAAGTTTGGAAAATCCAAAGCGCGACTCATAATGCTCATGTGATTATAAATCATCATTCAGGTCACTCCATAAAGTCCAAGACGTATTTAAGTATAAATATATACATCCTACTTACTTTTAGTACGTACTACTATTATTTATTCTGTGCTTTCAAAATATTGTAATAAGAATCTTATTATAATAATCATGTACGAAATTTGGTTTTTCGAATATTTTGTATTTGTACAGCGATCTTTTTGAGCCACTGCAAACAATTAATACAGTATCCACTCACGACGGCGGTTGACGCTTGACGTAAAATAAATTCATACAAGGCTGCTAAAACACTGAAAATTTCGCAGCCGAAAAAAATTAATTATAACTAAACAAAACTTTTTTTTGTTTAGCTATTTACATTCAATGGCTTTCCACATGATATATTAAGAGTTTTAATAATAGATTGAGTTGAACATGCAATACCTGTATATAACATGTCTTTCATTGACATTTAAATAAACCTCAGAACAATAACTAAAGTAAAATCAACTTCCAGTCGTTTCCTACTTAAGGTCGGACCTATAAAACATCTTTGATATTACATATATAATTTCTATACTTTTACTACACTTTATACATCTTGTTTCTTTAATGTCTCTACATCTTTTAACTATTTAAAACATAAAACTCGAAAATCTCAACCTACATCACTATTTATTTTTCTTTGATAGGATTAATAACTGTTACCGATAGCCAGTCTCAAGACGCGTCGCGCGCGCAAAACATTTTGGCTTGGTTCCACGGCTAGGAGTATTTCAGGAGCCGCCGGGCCGAGGTCATGACCCTCCACCTTACGCCCCTCACCCCACCTCCCCCATCTCTCCCACTAGGACGCCAGAGTCGCGACGTCGACGCTGAACCGCGTGGGTTGATACTATATTAGTACTAAGACGCTTGGCACATGCCGAAATGTGACCTGCATAACTAAACATTGTAAATAAAATATCAGTAAGAGAGCTAAAACGAGGTCTCATTTAGAAAACTTGGTCAACGCGAAACTCACCTAGTCACCTCATATGCTGACTCATTCATCTGCATATATAAACAACAAGACATAATCCACCTTATTACATAACGAGGCTAATTGATCGTCTCGGGTTTAAATATTGGTTTTAAGAGGTCTTTTTCAGGAAAAAATCCTTAGAAGCGGCGCCTAAATCTTGGCGAAATTTAGATTTTTGATGTTGAAATTCCATACTTTACTTTTTAGTTCGTATATTTCCCGCGAGGTTCTTTTATTTAAACAGACTCTAGTGTAAGTCTGAGACTAAAGTTAAGCTATTTGTAAAAGACGTATAATGTTAAAACAGAACCGACCATAGCCGCCCAATCTTGACTTGATAAAAATCCCACTTATTTAGTGCTAATAGACGTGATGGTAATTTCTGATAAAGTTCTAGATTGTAATCCAGGTTAGCTATACTATTACGTCAGGAGGTGACCATAGACTGATACTGCACCGGAAACCTCGGGAGTTAAAAATTAGTGTCGCTTGTGGCGCCCCTTTGACATTGGCGTCCTGAGTCACCTCCCTCTAAAGCCACTACAAAGTTAAAAGATGAATTTATGTACTGCATATTTTTGAGACGACCTTTTTCTAAAATTATTTATCAAAATTTTCAAAGTAAATTCTTAAATCTTTAATGTAATTCAAATGGAGTTTTTACCAAAAAGGTTGTAAATCAATAGAAGCAAAGTTATCAAATATAGTAGACAACGTAGCCTCAGAAGAAGCGTCACGCTTGTACTACATACTCGTCTATGTCAAGTCTGTTATCCCCGAGGGAGTAGGCAGAGTCCAAAGAGCAACGAACTATTCGGACTCGGATCACATTTAACCAAAAATTAGGTCACAGTCTCAAATTACGTCAGAAGAATCTCCTGTAAGTTTAAGATCGTCTGTTATGCTGTATTTGTACGAGGGTAGTCATAAAGTATAGTAATTGACAGTAGGCGTCTGAAGGCCTGTTTAAAGCCAAAGCGGCAATATTTTGTTCCACTTAATCGATTGGGACATGGGGAAAATGGCTTAACTTTATTAACAGCCTATTTAATACGGTCTAGTACTGCTAAACAATGGAATAAGTTTGTGGAAAAGAATTTCTTTAATAATTTAACTATTGTAGCAGACGGCCCTGTCGCATATTGTTACTCAAGTGATACGGTGTAAATCAAACTCTGCAACGACGAATGACGAAATGCATGTTTCAAAACAGCACAAATTTTCAATAAAATTCATGATTAAATACACAGCGATATCGAAGAGGAACAAATGAAAACATGTCCTATAACGTTTATAGTTTATAGCTTGATATGACATTTATTTAAATTTGAAATTCAAAGTTAAATCAGCTATTTGAGAACTACTATAATTTCATTTGTGACTTAATTAACGACCCAATAATTAATCTACCTAAAAACTTTCAGTAAAATGGTTGAAGAAAAATAACACTAAAAAAAACAATGATTTAATAAAAATCTCATAAAACTTCGATAAAATTCTATTTCTGCCATAAAACACTACACCTCAACTTATTTTCAATAAACTTATTTTCACATGACTGTATTTTCATATTTAATTTAGTGAATTTTATTGTAGCTGTAAAATAGTTCTTTACAATACGTTACCAATAGCTTCAATATTATGAAAACGGTACGTTATTCACCATGTTCGTCACCATTTTCAATAGTTGTTCATTTTTTGCTATACATTTTTAGGGTTCCGTATAACAGTGATGTGGCGGTGTAAGAATATCCACTACCCCATATCGTCCCGAGGCGACAGAGGTAAAATGAAACAGGACATGGACAGCAGCATCTTCCTGATAACAACTCGAAATAATAAAAAAACTGCGGTTGCCAACCCGCTTGCCAAGCATGGCAACTATGGCAAAATCACCCCATGAGGTAATCTGTGAGGAGTTCACTAGTGGACTTTATAGGATGTAATAGATGAATGGTTGGAGGGTTCCGTAAGTAAAAAGAAAAATGCAGGACCCTTATAAGATCGGCTTGTGGTCCGTCTATCCCATTTTCTTAGGAACAGGTGGAAATTTATTAAGTTGCAATAAATTTCAAATACTAAAAATACTAAATTTGCAGATTCTAAGTCCGTCGCCAATAGTAACATATTATGATACTTGCAAACTCACTCATCAAATCCTAGAGGGTACTTCAATGATGAATGAATCATTAAATTGGCTAAGAAGCAAGGTCTCACAGCACAAATAAAGGGAAAATCTGAAAATTGTTAATGTATATAAATTATATTTTTTATGCGACTACAAGATTACAGTTGCAATCGGAGCATCGACCGTGATGTAGACCGATGTATGGAAGAACATATTTGTCTACCGAAAACTTATGTTTGTACAATTCGACTCACCTTTTCGTTATGTTCGGTGCTTACCTTACTTAAAATTCCCGGGATGAGTGAACTGTCTACATAGATAATTAACTTTATGCGGAACCAGCCCTACTCGCACTTGTCTGTTTTTTTTTTTATAAAGGCATAGATGAGATTCTTAAAATGAAAAATTAAAAGTAAACTGCTTTTTCTTTTCCAGATACTCGAAATTCAAGTACTGTTAATTATTTTACAAAATGTTATTTCACAATATAACACGCTTTTAAATTATTACAATACTCATCCAGAAAAAAGATATCACCGACAGCGTCAAAACGATTACTACGATTGGCCAAAAGAACGCCTAAGAAGAATAAATCGGCATCGAAAAAGAAATTATCATAGAAGCGAAGAAGACTCAAGAGATTTCCATTCCAATTACGATACTTACAGGAACTATGACGAATGTAAATGCTCCTGCAATAGATGCGCAAACCCTAAGCCATGTTGTATTGAAATGTGTTCGTCTTGCCCTTCGCAAACAGATGTCATATACGTACCATATCCAGTGCCATTGGTGGTGACGGTATCGAATAGTCTGTCTTTACTTCCAAGCACCACTACAACTTCTGGCACTAATAGTACGAATGCACCATCTACTACTTTAGTTGCAACAAACTCTACTAAAGGTGGCACAGAGACTAAATCTCCTGATAAAACACAAACGCATTCCTCATCAACGCACCCGCCAACGTCTCACTTCCAATATAACAAGTTAAAATACTGTCCACCAATGGGAAATTGTAGAGATGACAATAAATACCGAGAGCACAGTCAAAAATCGTATCACAGATTATTTGATGACAGAAACAAACCCTCTTACAAAAACATAGAAATAAAATCAACGATGTCAGTTTATCCATATACAGACTTTGCCAAATCCGTAAGACAAACAAGACGAGATTGGTTGCCTAGGTACGGTATCGTGCCGATCCCCGATCACTTAGCGGTAAAGTTTATGTCGGAACTACGAAATTATAAGTAATATTGTGAATTACTAACGGATCGCCCCAGCTTCGCCTGGTTGAGATCTATAATATGGCGTCATTTAGATTTTTTTTAAATAATATCCAATGACCATTTCTTTTATCAATTATTCAATTCCACAAAAAATCTTCACCATTTTGGTTAAAATAGAGCTTAGATCCCTCCCGACATTGCTCTCTGTCAGTTCGTGAAGTTTTATCACTAACGGTTCAGCTATTCCGAAGATTAGCACAGACAAACTTGAAATAAATGTTTAATCATGTCTTAATGCCATGCAAATAACCCCTCAGCATAATATAAGCCAGTTGTTTCGATATTACTTATTCAGCAAGGAAACGTGATCACTATACTGCGAGGCATGGAGCTACATAATAATCATTTTAATTTTAAGCTTTTTATTGTTGTAAATATTGAATATTATGAAATACCTACTGAATAAAACAAATCTTAACGGATTTCACCGGGTTTATTTTAACTCATTTTATATTCCCAGGTTTAGATTGCTTCGCAGGTCTTTCCGTGACGCTCTCCGGTGTTTGACTATGATAGTGAAAGGTATAACACATGGATATGAATTTGGAGCGTATTATGAAAAAATCAGACCCAGCTGCCTCCACTGCCTCCACGATACAAGAGAAAATCCTACTGTGGGGGTAACGTTTTTTTAAGAATAAGAATAAGCTGACGTGCGTTTGCATAAATGGTTGGCTTTAAATAGCAGCATAACGCTGCTGCTAAGTGCTAAGTTGAGTAGAAACGGAGACCCTTTTTACTAATAACTTGTCATTCCATCTTAATCATATCCTGTGCAATACTTATCCCTAATCATCATTTATACTTCTATATAAAAATATTCCAAAGAAATGGTAGCAACTGGCTAGTTGCTACCTTCTATAATTAAATTAGGATGTTTCCTTATTCAATAGACCCGCGAATTATTCTTAATTGGTATGGATGTTACTTTGCAAAGATTTTTGGTTTATAAAATCTGGTATAACGACAGGTGCCGTCTTGAATAGAGTCAAAGAATGTAAATGTCATTTTTGTAGAGTCAGAAATATTTATTTTCTTTTGTGAATTGGAATTCACTAACGAAATTACATAAAAGATGCTACTGCAGTCCATGGACACCTGCAATCGACTTCGAACAAAGAAGGCAACAGATGCGTGGTCACCTCTTAAGGATAAGATGGAATGCCTCACAGCCTGTCATTATACTCATCATCATCATCATCATCATCATGATCATTACAGCCTTAATCATACTCATCGATCGCTAATAAAAAAAAACTGTGTGTGTACTTATTTACGCACGTAGGAATACTTCATTCTTCTTTAGCCTATCAAAACAAAAGAACTTGAGAGACAATTAGCCACTGAAGTTGTCGCTTTTAGGTGACAGTGTGCGCGCGCATCATAACAACTTCATAGTGTCGTTTTTAGGTGTCGGTGTACGCATCGTAAAAATTCTCTCTCATCATGATTTCTTATATTTATGCGAACACTACACATTGAATAAAACTATTTTTTACGGATTTTATCGCGTTTAATTTACTATTTTAATTCCAGACGTTTCGGGTGCTTTACAGCAACCCATGGTCACAGGGGGAACTAAGATGTTTGACGTCCCGATGTCACAGTTAGCCCGGCTACCTTAATAATTTTTTAATTAAAAAACTGAAGCGATAAAATTCATTAAAAATAGTTTTAATCAATTCACTCTCATCATTTTTCCCAAACGCCCCAAAAGAAGTATAACTAAATATAAAATCACATGCAAAAGTACTCTAAAAACTGTCTCCAATTGTTTTGACGTAATTCTAATTGAAATAAATATACATTAATGTAAATTCAACCTTAAACGCATTGCATAAAGTTGTATTCACAAAGCTAAGTACAAATTAAAAGCGCACCCAAATGTTCGAGTGGGCGGTCATTCGGTAAGGACATTTTTGTCACTGATTGTGTATCTAGTTTTCTATTAGTGATCTATGATTATACTCTTTATACCCTTCAGCTCGGAACACAATATTGCAACAGTGCAGTGCTATTCGGGGGCATAAATAAGTAACAATAAGGATAGTGCCTACAAAGGATGGAGTCCTAGGCAGATCCTGCCACCTTGAAACCTAAAGTTAATCCAAAGTTAACCCAAAAATCCTTAAGTTAGTTTCATTCTATGTGCTGTATACGCGTTAATATAAGAATTCATCATAACTTGCTATAAAACTTATGAGATTTTGGGCTGATGTATCAACCACCAGACAAAAGTAATTCACAGGATAAAATACAGCGTAAATATATTAGGTTAAATAAAATAGATCCATTGTTTTACATTTATGGCCAGTCAGTATAATTAAGTTGATGGATAACTTTTAACTGATTACTGAAAATTCATCCTTAAAAAGATAAGTACTTAGTTAATATTCCTGTATGCTTAAGTTTAGATTAAATTGTTTTACATATATAGGTAAGCGTCCTTCTGCATATTATATTGTATTAGTTTGATAATTTTAATTACTAGCAATACAGTAATTTACTATTAAAACATTTGTAGTCTTTGAAGTATTACATCAGTTTCAAAAACTACACAGTAGATACGGTTGAAAATAAAACTTAGACAATTGTTATATAAAGCTAGATCATCTTGAAACCTAGTAAGTGGTATAAAGCCATGCTGCAGCTATATTAATAGTATAGTTATAGCACGAATGGGTCGGCTCGACCGGGGAAGGACCACGCTCTCACAGAATACCAGCGTAAAATAGCAGCTTAATGCTGCTGTGTTTCGTATGGTAAGTGTAGAGAATCGGAGACTCTTTTTACTCGAAAGAAGGCATTCCATCTTGGTCCTCACGACTAACAACGCATCTGCAAATTAAAATGCATGATATGGATGTCCATGGGCCACAGCAACCAAATACCATTAGGTGGACTGTGTGCTCGTTAGTCACCTTTATTCTATAAAAAAATATAAGCCAGCATATCAGAATAATTGGCAATCACACTAACAACGCTTCGCAGGTAGAAGACAGTTAGCTTAGAGGTTGTTATTCCATCATCTGTCCTGGCTCCTTTAGAATGAGATGAGGTGGTATATGCATAATATTTATAAAGGGAAAATTGTATCCATACTTTTAGCATTACATTGACCAAACGAGCTTACAATCTATCTCACAATAAGTTGCTACTGCAGTACGACAATCAATTCAAACAAAGGCCTGTGTAAGCTATGTGTACTCTGAGATATAAACAAATAATATAATGCTTTACAGAATGTAATTACATATTATATCTTAAAATAAAAATAATGATCAAAATTCGCGACGACTATCATGCTAAATACAAAAAAACAAAAAATAACACATTTAAAAATTGTTATAAAAACATGAAGCAGATAGTAACAGAAGCTATGACAAATGAAAAAAAAAGCGTATTTTGAACAGTACATAAATAAAAATATTAAGGACTCCAAAACCCTGTGGAAAAATTTGGAAAATGTAGTATATTTCAAGAATAAGACTGAGGAACTTCCTCATCAGTTCAATGACCCAGATTTGATAAATAGACATTTCCTAAATATACCAGGGGGTGACCCGGTACCAATTATTTATACTTCCTACTTTAAACACAATAGGCACAATTCTAGTAATCTTACATTGTCTACAGTAGCAGAAGAATTAATATTAAATACTATTAAAGAACTTAAATCCAATGCCGTTGGTATAGACAATATCTCCCTACAGATGCTTTTAATGACTCTACTCCAATCATTAATGACAATTACCGCTATTATTAATAAATCGATCCAGAGTGCGGTTTTTCCAGATTTATGGAAACTCGCAATTGTCAAGCCTTTGCCAAAGAAGATGAATCCTCTTTCGATTAAAGATCTGCGACCTATTAGTATATTGCCCTGTATTTCTAAAATACTAGAAAAGGTGGTTTGCAAGCAGATGACAGAATACCTTGAAATCAATGGCGTACTGCCTGTTATGCAATCTGGTTTTCGCAAGGGCCATAGCACTACTACAGCTTTGCTTGAGGTAATCGATAATCTACTTGCAGCTCAAGATAGAGGTATGTGCTCAATTCTGGTGCTCTTAGACTTCTCCCGAGCTTTTGATTCAATCGATCAGTCATTGCTCCTGGAAAAGTTGTCATTCTATGGCTTTGATGCTAATGCGGTCAAATGGTTTGGCAGTTATCTCACTGGAAGGCAACAACGTGTGGAAATCATTACAAGTGACGGTACTAGGATTCAATCAATCCCCCAGAATGTTACACGAGGTGTTCCACAGGGCTCGATACTTGGGCCTGTTCTTTTCACGCTATATTCTGCTGATATCGTAAAGAAAATTAAACACTGTCATTACCACCTATATGCTGATGACCTACAAATGTACCTTTCCTTTATACCATCGCCATCAGGTCTTCTTCAGGCTATTAATAAAATAAATAACGATTTAGACGCTATTTCTGATTGGTCAAAGTTAAATTCATTGGTTCTAAACCCTGACAAGTCAAAGTTTATGTTAATAGGATCAAAAAATATGATTGCTAAACTTGTAAATGTCCCAATAGATTTAAAAATTGGAAACAGTTCTATTGATCAAATCTCCGAGGCTAGAAGCCTTGGGCTTAAGCTTGATAACCACCTGCGTTTCGAAGCACATGTCAGAGAAAGTGTACGAAGCTGTTTTTATAGATTAAAAATCTTATATAAAATCAGACCATTCTTAACAGAGCAAATGAGGATAAGACTATGCGAGTCTTTGATTTTGTCCAAATTAAATTACTGCGACGTGGTATTTGGACCTTGTCTATTAAGTAGGACTCAGAGGCTCATACAGCGTGTGCAGAATGCATGTGCGAGGTTCTGCTTCCACATACCACCTCGTACGCATGTTACTCCTTTTCTAAATAATGCAGGTCTATTAAAAATGTCATCGCGTCGAAAATTACACCTTGCTACCCTATTATTTGGAATAATTGCATTAAAAACTCCTCGGTACTTATATGACAAATTAGTGTGGGTTAGCGAACAATCAAAATATCCTAAACGTAAATGTACTAAGGTCTTTGTTATTCCGAAACATAGAACAATGGCATTTAGAGGGTCCTTCAGGTATGCAGCTTCTCGTTGCTGGAACGATCTGCCGCCACCAATACGTGCTCTAAAAACTATAGGAATATTTAAAAAAAAACTGATATTAATGTTAAAACAAGACTGTAATCACAAATAATAAATAAAAATTTACTTTTTTTACGTATCCAATTTAAAGGGCCTCCATTTAATACTAAAAAGATATGATGACTGTAAGATTCACTGTATTTATTTATTTTTTATCTCCACACTGATTTTCAGATCACTTTCTGTTTTCGTTTCTTTTCGTTGATGGTGTTGTTAAATCTTCTTAGTCTTCAATTAAATTCAAATGTTTTATTAAGATTAGACGATATATTTCATGTTGTTGAGTTGTTGAGCACTTGATCATGTATGTGTACATATAAGTATGTATGGATGTATAGATATATATGGGTTCATATGTAATTGTATGTTTATGATTGCTTAAACAATGTATTATTATTTCCAAATAATAACTCTTATTATGCTGATTCTGTCCCCACACTGAATATTTTGATCTAATTTTAATTAGTTTTAGCTTTAGGTAATGTATGACCGTCCGTGAAGCCAATATTAGGCTCTATTTGAAAACCAGCGCTGCTGTCATCTAGTTCAGCAGCTGTTAGCTGAAATAGGGACCTAATTTGACTTTACACAAATCCTGTTTTTTATATCTCGTGTTATTTTTTTTCTTTGTGATGTGAAATAAAGTTTTCTTTTAAAATCGCAATGTCTAGTAATGAAAGACTCCATCAACAATTTTTTTAAGTAGGCGTTACTTAAAAAAGTTTTCTATTGAATTTTAGAACTATTGTACACTGTGAAGTGGAAATAAAAGGCTGCAGTTACCCGTTCCTCTAGCTAGAGTCTGTTTCAAACGTATCGAAGTGATTTGTACTTAATTTTTTGACGAACGAACTGACGAAATTTTTCAACCTAAAATATACTAAGTATTTTTAGTTCATTCAGTAAAGTTTAGTGTTCATATCGGCAATAAGGTGATTTACATGGCAACTTTTTCAATTCTTTACAAAATAACATCACTAAAATAAATATTATAACGAACCAAATACAACTGCTGGATACCGAAGATGCAAAGGTTGTTATTCATTTCTGCAAAAAGGTTAGTTCCATTTAATCGGTAACTTATATAACGTAAGTAACAATGCGTTGATTTAACAGCATAAAAAAGAAAAATCTGACACACATATGTGCGTACACCTGTTTCCAGTCACAGTGGTGGTTAGTTTAACTTTGAAACAAACGTAAGAATGTCGCCGAAGAGAAAATAGCTTTCCTATTTTTAACTACAGTATTATGAGACTGGTGTGTATTTATTTTTTATTTTTATGGAGCTATTTAAAACAAATTTTGTTGAATTATTGTTTTATTTGATAGGTATTAGAATATTTTATATTTTTTAAACTTAAATGGATAATATAATAAAATCCTAACTATAATAGGACTATATGATAATTAAGTTTATAGTTTTAGTTTTTTTATTATTATTATCATAGTTTGTAATAAATTGTAAATTTTAAATAATTTCACAAATTAATAACTATTTAAAACTTGACTAGAGAGTATTAGTCAAATTAAACAATTAAAAACTTATTTTATTGAAGTGACCTTTGAGGTGAATTTATAGTCCGCCTGATGGTATAAGGCTCCTGCAGTTTCTCGACATCCGTAACCAACTTCAAACAAAGATGTCTATAGATGACCTCTGACGACGAAGATGATGGAATACCTCACGCCTGTATTTAACTGGCTCTCTGTACCTTTCAAACCAGAACAGAGCAGTGAAATGAAGAGCAGAAATAGGAAAGTGGGTGGTACCTACTCACAAGGATTTCTAGGCACAAGAAAATTTCTATGACCTAGTAATAAAATTGTTTTTTTTATTATTATTATTTAGCAAGCACACAGTCCACCTGATGGTAAGTGGTTGCTGTGACCTATAAACATCTACATTTCTCCTCAATAAAGGATCAAAATACAGATGCGTCATCACCCGTGAGGACTAAGATGGAATGCCTCTTTTCCAGTAAAATGGGTCTCCGATTTTCTACACTCAACATACGAAACGCAGCAATCAAGCTGCCATTTTACGCTGGTGTTCTGTGAGAGCGTGATTCTTCCCCGGTCGAGCCGACCCATTTGTGCTACAACTATAGGTACTACTAATATAGCTGCAGCATGGCTCTACCACGTATAAAAACGTGTTGTAAAAACTGTATTTTTTCTTCTATTTCTTCTTTATCACCTAGTAACAATCCAGTGACCATGGTATAGGGAGTTCATAGTAAAAGAAGTATTGTCACGCTACGCAAGTGGATTAACGATCATAGTACCAGATGTCCAAGGTATTTTATATTTAGTTAATACGAAATAATTGTACCGTTAGTCTATCGGCCATATGATGTTTCCGATTTTTTCATAACTGACATGACATGACTCAATATGAGGTTATGGGATATAACCAGCATCACATAGTTACCTAAAAATACCTAAAAATGCAATTTCTTTTCCAGATATTTAGTACCATTGCTTTCTGTGTTGTACTGAAATGTAGCCATTCGCAATTCGACTTTGGTGATTATTATAAACAACAGCCATCAAATATTGGATATCAAACTTTACCTGGAACCGATTACTTTAGCAATGCGAATATGTTTCCTTTTTTGTTGAACAATTACAACTACGAATTACAAGTACACCAATGTGATTGTGCTTGCAATAGATGCGGCAATCCTCAACCGTGCTGCATTGAATTCTGTAGGAAATGTAAACAAGAAAACGAACAGTCTGGTTATGTGTTTTACCCGTATCCATATATTATTTATGCTAACGCGCCAAACAACATCACGGAGAAACCTACAGAATCTACCATAAAAACAGAAGCAACTATAAAAACAGAAGCCCCTACAACAACAGAAGCAACAACAACCACGACTGTGGAGACTACTACAATTCATCAAACAGTGACTACAGTAGTAACAGAAAACGTAACTTTCGCATTGGATTCAGAGGAAATTCGTAATAATTTTATGAACAATCCCAAACCAACTTTGAAACAAGACCGTAGCAAACTCATGCTTACGGCACTAAGGCGTACCAAGCCAAGATGGATGCCGAAATACGGTATAGTGCCAATCCCTGATCAACTTGCAGAAAATTTAATGTTACGCATTAGACAAATGAAAGTATTGCATCCGGAAAAGGATGCTATTAGGAAAATACAAAATCTATATCCTGAATCATAATAATAGTAAAATAAACATCAATATAATGATAAATAGGTACCTAAATATCGATTTTATCTATATAGTATGTTATATATACAGAGGTTCAGAATAATTTATATAGGCAAATAGTGAAGAAAAATTAATTTAAAAAAATTTCAACATTTATTTTTTCAACACGCACACATTCGTAAGGGTCGATCAGTAGGCAAAAACGTTGTTGCCCATAAATCACTCAATTAAATTTGGGATAATTTCAAATAAAAGTAGAACCCATATTTACACGTATTTTCAAAAACTGCAACAACGGTATATTCTTATTTATACATTTGAATTTAACTCTAAAATTTGGCTACTCTTTGAAAAATAACCCTGTTTATAACTGATTACCAAAATTAAATTATTGCAACAAAATCAACATATCATATTCATGATAAATCTTTTCTCGTCATTTTTGCTTTTTTTTTATTACTTTGATGTCTATTTTATTATATTCCTTTTTTTTCCACGATAAAATGTTAATATACACGAAAGTCAGGTGTTATAAACTATATTATTTCTACATGTTTTCACATTTTTTAATAAAGCTGACTGAAAATGTAGTTCTAACTCATACGGACTTACAAATTTTGTACAAATAAAAATTGTGCATTACAAATTAATTATTGCTTGATTTAATAAGTGTAATGTGTAAAGAAAACGTAAATATAATTGATTAGATGTTTCCGAAAAAAGTCAACTAGAGACACAAACTCACAGGTCATCTGATGATAATTTTTATCCGTGGTAAAGTAATCCTACAGCTATATTTGTTTTACTTTTATTTTACTCTTATTTTATTATTTATAATATTTTGTTTTACTCTTGGCGACATAAAAACAAAAAAGAGCCTTTCTGTTTAGTAAATACCAACTTACAAAGTTCTCGGACAGTAATCGTCCGTTCATTTTGCATGTCTCATAACCATACTCATAACGGAGCATTATACGTGTGTTCTACTCTCGACACGTCAAGGTCAAACAATTTTGTGTTTTTTTTTTATAGGATAAGGGTGACAAACGAGCACACAGTCCACCTGATGGTAAGTGGTTGCTGCGGCCCATAGACATCTACATCTATCCTCTGTTACAAATCAAAATGTAGATGGGTTGTCACCCGAGGGGACTAAGATGGAATGCCTCATTTCCAGTAAAAAGGGCCTCCGGCCACCTGCACTCACCAAGCGAAACGCAGAGGTAAACCTCTACTTCACGCTGGTTTTCTGTGAGGTCGTGGTACTACCCCGGTTCGAGCCGGCCCATCCGTGCGACAGCAAAAGCTGCCGCGTGGCTCTACCACTGTTAATGTGTTCTAACTGAAATAAATGTTCTTAAAATGCCTCTATCATATCCATATTGCACTTACACGATAATATTATGACTGGCCGTATATCAAGAAAACACTCTAATTCTCCATTAATCCATTTTATATTTTCTAAAAAAATCATATTGCGACTTTGAAAAATCAACGGTTTGGAAAAATTGTACGTGGACGTCCGGATGTTGATTTTGTATGTGGTTAGGAACTCTCGAAAAAAATTGAAGTATCGATTTGTTTATCGTATCGTCTACGTCTATGGTATCGTTTTGTTTTATTAGCTTCAGAATCACTTCAACGGGTTATAGAATCACTTCCCTATTTCATATCAATAGCCTAAAAGCGTAGTTAGGACTTAAACGTAGTGATTATATTCTCTTTGGTTTCTTAATAAAATGATTGTATTGCTATTAAAAATTTAAAGGCGCTGTCATCTATATTTTTTAGCATTTGATAGACAAACGACTAATGTACCATAGTCTACATCGATTTTATACTTCGTAGATTCAATTTATTTTTACCAAATTTAATACACATAAATAATATATTTTAAAATAATATATATACAAACACTCACGCCTGTCACCCAGAGGGGTAGGCAGAGACTATGCACTTCCATATGTCACGATCCTGACACACCTCTCTCGCTTCCTCCACCACATCCATATTTTCCACGCATACACGCTCGTCGGTTAAAGGTACTCTTAATTTGGCCTATTTTTAATATATCGTCAATTTGATCGATAAACTTTCGCCTAGGGCGTCCCTTCCCGACTCTGTCGTTCACCTCTGCAACATAAATTTGCTTTGTCCCTTTTTCCTCATTTATTCTTTCTATATGACCAAACCACCGAAATATTCCTTTCTTAATCCTGGTCACAACATCATCTTGCAAACCACACTCTTCTCTTATCACACAATTTCTCACCCTGTCATTAAGATTCAGCCCTAGCATACTCCTTAATGACCGGATTTCTATAGCATTTATTCTGCTCTCGTGCTTCTTTTGCCACACCCAACTTTCACTGCCATACATTAAAGTAGGGACTAACACACCATTGTGAATTGCCATACGTACCTTTTTGGACACATTCCGACTTCCCACAATAGAGTGTAGAGATCCATTCACTCTATTTCCTGCGTTCACTCGTTCTATATCCTTATCATATCTACCATCCCTGCTAAATAGACATCCCAAATACATAAACTCATCTACTTGCTCGACCAACTCCCCTTCTATTCTTATTTCACATATCGTTTTACTTTCTTCTCTTTCAGAAACCATTACTTTCGTCTTACTTGCGTTCGCTTTCATTCCCTTTTCTTTTAATTAATTTTAAAAGTTAGGAATAAAATTTATTATTTTTTCCATCAAAATTAACTGCGGCGTGCACTTTTGTATTTTCCACTTCTTCTTCTTTGTCATCCTCATTAGCCTGTAAAAGTGCACTGGTAGACATAGGTCTCACCTTTGATAGGGAGTATTTCCTTATTGGTCAAACAATTTGGGCGGATTGACAATCGTAGTACCAGACGTCCCACACGTGTACGGTAATACACGTCGCCAAGACATAAGATTTATCTTGCATTTTTAGTCGCATTGAACTATTTACGAAGTGTTCCATTTTTTTAAGTTTATCAAAACTGGGTTGATGAATAGCAAATAAACCATCAATTTTTTTTATAGAATAAGGGTTACAAACGAGCACACAGTCCACCTGATGGTAAGTGGTTGCTGTTGCCCATAGACATCTACATCTATCTTCGTTTGCTCTTGATAGATATGCCATATGATATGAGATAAAATGCCTCTTTTCCAGTAAAAAGGGTCTCCGGTTCTCTACACTCACCATACGAAACAGCAGCATTAAGCTGCTATTTTACGCTAGTATTCTGTGAGAGCGTGGTCCTTCCCGGTCGAGGCGACCCATTCGTGCTACAACTATGCTATTAACATATACAACTATACTAGCTGCAGCATGGCTCTACTACGTATAAAAAAATTAAGATTGATCTCAAATCGAGTTAAATAAATAATAAGAAGCATCAGAAATATATGGTCAGTAATACCTTTTTCGTATTTCTCGCAATAAAAAAACACAATACAGGATATTTCGAAGGCAGAACGGAGTCCACACCACAAAATGAAATGAAAATTACTTATTCTGTTCTAACACAGTATTATAAACAAACGCGTTGTCACATCAGTGTTTATGAAATATGATAGTTATTAACTTTACGGCCTTATTCATAAAGATTCTGAAAGAGTTTATGATTTTTTTGTTATAGAATAAGGGTGACAAACGAGTACACAGTCCACCTAAATGTAAATGGTTGGTATGGCCCATAGAAATCTATTCTCGATTATTCAAAATGAAAAAACTTAATTTTTTATGCAAAATTCAAGTATTTGCTTAACTAATGAACTTTATATATTATACATCTATTTTATAGGATTCTTATGAAGCAAATGATAAGTTTTCAGTTTTCGTAAAGTAAAGATTCTCACGAACTCAAATTGGTTTAATGTTAATAGTTTACATTTAAATGGCACTAAAACTGCCATTTAAATGCAAAAATATTAACATTGTAAATGTAAATGTATGAAATTCGTAACTCCAAATGTCAAACATCTAAATAATAATGAAATTTAAAATTGGGAGGAGCAAAGTCCTGTCGGTACCACCATTTTTCATGGAATCACATTAGATGCGAAACTCCAATGTAGCCCCCGTATATCAAAACGAGCAAGCAGACTTAGTTCTGCAGCATATGCTGTAAAAAACAATAGAAATCTTAGCAGTGTTAAAACAGCTAGACTAGTTTACTTTAGGTATTTCCGTATGGTATTTTGCTATGGGGACACGCGACTGACACTGAAATTACATTTGTTTTACAGAAGAGGGCCATAAGAGCAATCTATGATTTAAAACCTAAAGATTCGCTTCGACAAAAATTTAAGGTAATTAATATATTAACTTTGGCCTATCATTACATTTATGAAAATGTAATGCATATACACAAAAACAAAATTAGATTTACAAAAATAAGTGATATTTATTCTGTAAATACTAGGAACAGACACAAGCTAGTGGTACCAGTTACTCGTCTTCACCGAGTCATTAATTCATTCTTGGAGCGATGTATACGCTTTTACAACAAAATCCCAGAAAATATTCAAAATTTGAACTCCTCAAAGTTCAAATACTTTATTAAACAAAGTTTGTCTAAACGGGTTATTATAATATTAAGGGTTTCATGAATGATAATAACCCCTGGGAATGAGCTGACCAATCTATTTGTAATTTGTTTTGTGTTATTAAATGTGTAACATATGATATTTTTTAAATGTCCCGCTGGGTTTGTTTCTGGTTCTTCCCACGACAGAGGTTTTTTTTCCGAACCAGTGGAAATTAATCCAAATAGTGACTTTCAATAAGTATTATTTATAATCTATATTGAATTAAAAAAAATCTATTTCTGTTTCAAAATGAATGCTCTAAAAATATAATGCAATAATTTATAACCTATAAATAAAATTAAAAATTGTGGAAAAGCTCGAAAACAAATAGCATGATATAATATATGTGAAATAGAGGCCTTTATGTACAAATCTATATAAAAATACATTTTTATATAAAAACCACCTTGTAAATAATTGTAAT